AATTTACAATAACATAGACCTGAACCCATTTGAAGAAATTGAGGAAGAAATCATTAAATATAAAAGACGAGGAGAAATAATACTTCAGGGTGATCTAAATGCAAGAACTAGTAACATGCAAGACCTGTTGGACACCAGTGATAATAATATTCGCATTTTACAAGACCATGCCAAAAACATAGACATTGCACCAAGAAACAACCAAGATACAAGGGAAAATAAATTTGGAAAAAGACTTTTAGAAATATGCAAATCAAATGAACTAATAATACTAAATGGACGAACCTGTGGAGACAAACGTGGACAACTAACCTGTCATGAGCTCACTTGATCTAGTGTAGTGGACTATACCATATTGTCCATCAGTCTCTTCTCAAATATACTACACTTTAAGGTAGCGAGAAGGGAAATTTTCACTTTTTTCTTGATTTTTCAAAAATTGATAAAACGGTTACTTTAGACCTTGATACATCACCCCAGGTTTACAAAAGATCGAAATTGCGAAATAACGTTGCTCAAATTAGTGTTTTAAAACACTAGCAGAAAAGACTACAACTGCCGTTTCGTGGATATTTGCATAGTGTTTATCTTTGGAAGGAATTAAATGATAACATCTTATCTGTATACTCTGTTGTTGACGATTCTGATATAATGGGTGATAAGCTTCCAGTTGCAAACAATACGTGTTTATCTAACGTCCATTGTCAGCATTATTGTCAGTCGAGACTTCGTCGGAGAAACATGGTCATACAGTACTCATTTCGCCCAACCTTCCGCTTTTACATCGACCGCTTATCGCTTTATTTCCGACCACGCGGTCTTGTCCGACCGGAAACCGACCGCATTTTAATCGCGTTTTTTTTTCGCTCGCTCGCTCATTGAAAACACTGACCGCTCGCCCAAACACTGAAAACTGGCACATGGGTGGTTGAAATGGTGGTTTTGATAGTAAAGTGTGAACATACAACTAGTATTAACTATTATTACATTCTGAACGACACTTCAAATCTAATAGCTGTATTACACTTGTATCGTGAAAGCAACTGAACTGGGATTTCTTGTTACGTGTTTTGGGTGCTTGTTCTAGATGTAATATTTTTATTTTTATTTTAATGAGACAGTTACGTGAAAAAAAGCCTAGGTAACTCCTTTTGACAGAGCAGAGAAACGAGGAAATGTTAGTGATTAATTCCAAAAATAACGATATCGAATCCACATCGGTCCACGTCTGGTAAAATTTGACATTCAATTTTTAAAATTA